GCCGAAGGCGCGAGGTTCCTAGGGGGGTCCGGGGGCAGGCTCCCCCGGAAAATTTTGAAAATGAGCCTTCTAAAATGGCATTTCGTGCATTTTTGAGAGGATTTCCAAAAAAAATTAGAGATAAATTTTGATTCAATGACAAAGGGAGCAGTTTTTCTACGATTCCAGTCCATCTTTCAAGAAAAATCTTGGACCTTTACATAAAAAGTGGACCAAAAAGTGGACCTTTACATAAAAAGTGGACCAAAAAGTGGACCTTTACATAAAAAGTGGACCTTTGAGCCATGTGGGGGGGGTTCTTCCGAACCCCCCAAACCCCCCCTGGCTACGGGCATGAGTTAAACTCTCAAAATATTGCTGGGACATTGAGAAGAAACTGCAGTGTTTATGTGCAGAAAATCACTGTTACCAGTACATCTATTAGCAGCATTTTGTTCTGCACGAAGAGTCTTGATCAGAGTTGTAGAAAAATCTTCCAATTTGGTAAATGATATGTGCACATGATATGTTTGATTCATCACCTGATTGTCATTTCTCAATTTTTTTACGCTGACAAATTACATGTATACGGTCACAAATCTCTGCACCATGACCAATAAAAAATGGGACAGGCCGTCACAAGAATGTCTGAAAGCTAGATATCAGAAGTACCTCTGGAATTACCAAATTGAATGCTTTCTTTAAATAGTAAATCTCTATAAATCCATTATTTTGTCAATGTGGTGATCTTAGCATACTGTATGATATATCATGAAGGAAAACATTTGACAAGAAGACAACTTAAAAACGTGTGTACTGTCCTGTAGTATAGTATTACTAGAACCTGTGGTCGAAGTCATCAGCGTTGGAACGTTTCTGAGAACTTTTTCTCTCTCGCTTCTTCTTGATGGTTGACAGAGTCTGTTCAACAAACAAACAACAAGAAAGCAAGTGTTAAGTTTTTATAATTTCATACCTTGTTTTCTACAGTGATTTCTTTGCCAATTTTGACCTCTGCTGTATGTATACACGTGTACATTGTAAACTGGCAATTACATATATTAAGATTGTAAAAGTGTGCCATGTACAGGGTATGTTAACAAATTTATGAAGGTTTATTTTAAGAAATTCTATGTGGTAACATGTCCATTTTCAGGTTTCAGTTAAGGTATTTCTGATGTCTACCTGCACCTAACCTGCATATGTACATGTACAGCCCGGTATAGAAGACTCGTGGGTTTTTGTTTTCTTTAGGAAAAGTGTGTACATAAAAAAGACTGTGTTATGGGTCAAAAGTTACCTCGTAAGCTTTCTGTATCTCCATGAATTTCTCCTGAGCCTCCTCCTTGTTCTCCTTGTGTCTGTCTGGGTGCCATTCCCGTGCCAGCTTCCGGTAACGTTTGGTGATCTCTTCCTGACTCGCATTCTTATCTACTCCAAGTACCTGCAAAAAAATAGAAAAGAACATTCAAATAAATAACCTCTATGTGTTATTTTTCTTTATGTGCTGCATGTCACATTGGACTCTGATTCCTTGTAGTAATGACTAGAAATTCTTTGTTAACAACCCATTGCCTCTACGGCCTCAAAATTAGGGCTATGCCAGGGAGCTTTGCATTCTTATCTACACCCAGTACCAGGAATACAGGAAAGGAAATTATAGTACATTCTTCAACTGTGAGTTTTCTTACACATCATCATAAATGACCTAGTTGACAGGAGATAGACAGGTCATGGGTTTGATTCCTAGCATTCCTGGCTACTTCAATCCACTTTCCTCACTCCTTCCAGGTGTAAAATGGGTACCTGACTTTGGTTGGGGACTTAATTTATCAATACTGTAACAATACAACTCTTACTGTCTCAACCCCAAACATTCATTCAGTGCATGTATTTCTGTTCTACTACATGTATTGACTTAAACAAATCCACGCGAAGGCCACCGTGTCAACTGTGACCCTCACTCAGGTGTAGGGACTGACACGGTCATCCTACTCGGAAAAATCTGTATCTGTACATGAATCTGTATCTGTACATGAATCTGTATCTCATTGCAAATAAATATATCGAGTAATTGCCATAGACAGGTATACTAAAACTATAAGTTTATGTTATTCAACGTTGTGTTTTGTGCTTACCTGTAGTGCATTAGCTTCTCCTGTAGGGTCTAAAGACTCCACAAACTGCTGCCAGACCTTGTCCCATCCGTGAGTCTGTCCGTAGTCATACAGCTCCCACAGGTTCTTCTTAAACTGGAGCCAGGCCGGCGATGTGAAGAAGTTATCGACAGAGTCTCGCAATTTGATCGTCTCCCCATCGCTTGTTGTGACGGACGCGTTGTGGTACAGGAAAGACCCCCAGACTGCGAAAATGATCATACCCGCGAGCGTTAACGATGTAAGACGTCGACACAGCCCCTTTTTTGGTTCTGACCGCGGCCTGTACTTGCTTTTATACATACAACCGACCGCGGCGCCAACCGCAATCCACGTGGGCGCGTTTTCAGCAGCTTTGCCGAACATGAAAATGGCGGGGATGCTCGCGTATGACAGAATGTCGCCGAGCTCCACGGTCTCTTCTCCGATGTTGGCCACGATGTGGGCGCCGGTGATTGTTGCCATGGTTACGATACCGTAGCACAGAGCTCTCAGCGCGAGACTTCCCTCTTGGTACGTTTCTTCAGGAATGGCTAGCATGGCCATGAAGCCAAAATACATCCCCAGGGCCATTTCACCTGTGGAAAAATACAAAAAGACATAAATATCAGTATGTTGTGGTACAGATTGTATCAACACATAGGATACCCCACAAAGGGTAGCTGTATTACTGTACGGTTTATCGTCTGTTGTTCCCCGTCTTCCGAGGGTTAGACGTGCTTGCACTGTACATCTGGGGCTTGATGGCAGCTCGCCACTTGTCTCTGTCCTGTGGGTTGATCTTGTCTAAGTTCAGGTGGTGGAGGTCCTCCCTTATGTTGTCAAACCATTTCCTCCTAGGGCGGCCACGGGGGTTTGGAACCTCCACACCCAGTGTGAGGATCCTCTTAGCACACACCATTCAGGTTTTTTATGATGTCCTCTTTGAAAAAAAAGATCTTTCAAAGGAATTGGTATGACCTGGTAAAAATAACATCTATCTGATCTTTGTCAAAAGGCATTTTTTCTCATATCTCACTCTCAATCAATGTGGAAAAATAAATGCTTACATGATTGGTTTAGGGTAGCCTGGAATCCAAAACCATTCTTATTTTAGTCTGCTCAACTGATCACTTCCCTACTGAATAGTCTGTTAATAGAGGATGGCTTGACATAAAGAGGAATAATTGCCTTATGTATTAGTGAGAGATCTGTTTGGCTCCAAGTTGCACAATAAACTCATGCTAAAACCAGCACATTAATTGCAAATCACTGTATTGGAAATAGTAACAATATGCATGGCAAAGCTTTCTCTAAGAATGAAAGAGAGACAAACCTCCGAACCGTGCGACATTGAAGATCGGTCTCAGCTTGTTTCGTCTCCTGTTCTCCACCACCTGGTATTTGTCTCCATAGCCATTCGCAAAACCCACGTAATCAGGGATCCTCCATAAGTCCCGAAACCAACCTGTAACACAAAGTAATTAAGGTATTACTGAACAGTCAAAAATCTAAACCATAGTATGCATGTCCACAACAAAAGATATCACAGTCTCCCATGTACACCGATGCAGTACTGCACAGCCGCTAGACCACTTGCTTTGTTGCCCCAAGGACATTATACATTATACTGTATATTGTCCTTGGTCACCCTAATCCTAACCTACATTGTACCTGCAAAATATCATAAGGATACAATGTACATGCACCCCACCCCAAGTTATAACCAACTTAGTTAAAATAGTGCCAACCTCTATAGTGTTTAAGGCATTTTGTGAAAAGTTCTGGATTTTGCAAAGACTAAAATTATGTTTTTTATTAATGGATCCTGGAAGATTAGCCTTTTGGCTGAAGGGTATCAGAATAAAGAGAGAGGAAGAGAAATAATATGAGGTGTAGTCATGCATGACAATATATTAGACAACCATTGCAACAGACAATCATAGCAAAATGTATGGCCTACAATAAAAATATTAAACCTTGCCAATTTCGCATTGTTAACAGCAAATACAAACATTAAGATCTGTCTAACTGTCAAGTTTTGAACTGAAATACTTTATACATGTCGAAATATATAATACCGGTAACGCCCCATATGGAACAATGCACGCACACGTGTCGAACTATACATCATAAAATATTTACAGACAACATCCGTGTAACATTTATATACGCAGACAGGACCCGCATACCTACACAGAACTGATGTTCACGAAAAAACAAAAGGTTTATATCAGTTATGAACGTAATAAAGCATTGTTGTAGCCTATAACAGGTGGTTGTTGTCTTACCTAAACCAAAGATACCACCAAAGGTGCACCACCACACAAAAGCTTGTCGATCTCTTCTCAGGTAAAAATGGTGCAGGCCAAGAAATCCGCCGATCAGCCAGAAGATATAGGTTAAGAGGATACTCTTGGCCATCTAGGATCTCTTAAATGTCTTAAGATTGTTCAAGAAAGCTGATTTTAAGACTGAGCCAGCGTAAAAGTGGGACGCGAAGTCTTGTAGTGCCAACCCGGAAGTGAAGGTGCCTTAGCAAATTTCCCGGTGCGCACGCGTAGTAGTGGGTGCGAAACTTAATTTGCATAAGCTGTGACGTCATCACAGGGTCAACTCATCAAATGCGTACTATTAATAGCATAATTATACGTGGGGATACTAATATGTTGTACGTGTTATGCGGAAATCGGCCATTTTGTTTGTGTTGCCATTGGCAACCGCGAGTGCTGACGTGCCGATAAGAGATTCGCCTGACACCTGTTTGGTGACGTCATTTTCCCTCCGGAAAAATCCTGGTGCGCCGCGGCTGCGACTCGGAAACTCAAAAAAAAGTAAATATAAGTACTGATAAAGCAGCACTTTTCTCAGTAAGATCATAGAGTTTAATCTCCAAGCAGATATTTGGGTGGCTGCAAGAGCCAAGACAGTATCAAATTTGCCAGGCAGTATCCATTTGGCAAGAGACAGTTACTATTTGCCATCCGAAGTTTGGCTGGTGAAGAAAATACAGTACGCAAAAGAAGGCCCGATTTAAACGTTTAAAACACGTCAATAATACTAGAAAGGCCAATATTTGCTTTGGAGCAAATACAGCGATGGGTTCACCACATTTTACGACATGGCAGGGAAAGAATGGGAAACACAAGGGAAAACAATGATTTACATTGATATAACTATAATATGAAGTAAAATACAACTAAAACAACAGTTGGATAGCTATTCCCTACTTTATTGGTTAGGATTTTTAATTGCATAATGCAAACTGTTGATTTTCAAATAAAAAAACAACCATGCCCCGCATTCCAATGCTGGAGCAGGAAAGCTTGAAATCCCTACCAAAACACTTGAATACAGACATACTGTCAGTATGGAAATGCTCTGTGCTGGTGTTAATCAAGTTAAATCCCAACAGCCAATCAGCAAGAAATGCTCTGTGCAGGTGGAAATGCTCTGTGCAGTGAGTGTTAATCAAGTTAAATCCCAACAGCCAATCAGCAAGAAGAATAGAGGAAAGCTGCATGCCTATTGGTTGATGCCCTGCATTCCATTGTGATGACTCATGCCCAAACGTGGTAAACAAGGCACACTAACACAGTAATACATTTGCTATAACACAGCCAAAAAACTCAAATAAAACCATTCTAAAAGCCTGTATCACAATAATTTAAAAAACGCCCTTGGGGTATTTGCCCACTGTACCTCCATACCAAATTTCAGGACCTCGGGCCCTAAAATGAAGAAGCTGAATCCATTTAAAAAATGGCAGGAGAAGAAGGAGAAGGAGAAGGAGGAGAAGAAACATCAGAAAAAGCAATATGGGTTCACCACAACACGTGGTGTGGTGAACCCATAATAATAGGTAATAATGATCAAAAGAAGATCAAATAATAGCTGACAACATATGACTTATACAATGATAACTATAGGGCTTATTCACCACAGATTGTCACGTGACTCTCCCCCTGGCGTCCGCCATTTTGGGGCTATCGCTACTTATGCAATGCTATGCAAACTCTTGGCGATAGTTGTGTATTTTGGGCCACAATCTACGTTTTGGACACTCTTCTTGTTAGTAACATTGTCCTTGGGGTTGTTCTGGCTCCGTGTCCACTTTTCATGTTGTCAAGATTGGCTTTTCAGTCTTTCTTTGCTGATCAGAAATCGGTGTGTTTAATCCTGGCGCGGCGTACGGGGCTGTACATGTACATGTAGATTGAAACGTGGGTAGCTATGAACACGGTAAAATGTTGGACTCGGAGCTACTTGTCCCTTTACTCTGTGGTAAATCTCC